GTGCTTGAAGTTGTAACTCAGGCTGCAAGGGAGCTGCTGGGGTCAGGGGCTCTGATTCCTGGGCCTCCGGGAGTTGCCGCATTAGTTTTGGAGGTTTTCTTCAAAAAGCATGAAAACAAAACAAAAAGCCTATAGGCTAATAAAAGCTTTTTATTTTTTTAAACAAAGATACTTAACTATTTAATCTGATGGTTTCAGAAAGTAGAAAACCAACCAATCCTCATCGATTCCTTCCTATCTTGAATAGGTAGTGTTCAGACGGTAGAACTTGACAACCTTCCTTTCCAACCCTGAAATTCTGTGATTCCGTGAGAGAGCTAAGGATTCTGTCTCATGTCTCTCCTTCCCTCATATTTGTGAACTTGCAGGTTTGCTGGCTTCAGTGTCCTTATATATAGATTTTGAATATAAATTCATAAAGCGTTTCGACTTTATAATGATGATGGGTACTTTTTCGGACTCTTAAGGATGACAAAGAAGAAAAAATACTTACTTCTTAGGTTGGTTGTCATTTCTTTAGCCTATTAAGGTGTCTGTCACTGATAGAGATATAAAAAAGGTTGTAAAAGGTCTTACCTTAGTGTAAAGATCAGGAAGGCCAACGAGACCTGTGCACGTATGTTCCTTATAAGACGTTTATGCACCATTTATTTTAGTTGGGAAAGAAAGTAGCAGATAAATTTGAGTTTGGTATAAAATTTAAAGGATGAAATACACTCTTTGCTAAGAACTTACAGTGTGATGAAAGGGTTAATAATATATAAGCCTATGGAACATTCTAGTTAAACCAATGTTTAGCAATTACAGTATTGGTCACGCTTAAGTCTCTTTATGGGAAATGTTGACCATCCCGGACATGTACGCATGCGTGCTGAAATTCTGGCAATTCCTTCAAGATCAAATACCTATCTGGATCTAGGTAGGATCTCTGAAAACAATTAAGCTCGGTCATCACACTATAAATTGAATATTAACTTACAGATTTTCTTGTTTTCCCCTACAGCAGCAATTTTAATTGATGCTTATTCTTTCTTTCTCTCACTTTCTCTCTATATAGGCACACACATACACACAGTTAATTACCTTTCAAAAATTATGTTTTTAAATAGCCCAGCAAAGAAGTTTTATTTGCCTGGTCCCTTGTGTCTAAGACTGAAGATAAATTTTATCCTTGCGGACCCTTAGGCAAGACTAGTCCTAAGTTGAAGCATGATAATCAGAATTATTTGAGACTGTATCTCAAACTGGGTTGAAAATGCTTTTTAAGACACTGAAATTTCTCTGGCCTTGGGAAAGCTGTTAAATTCCTCAAATTTAGTTTCTTATATGGAAACTAAATGTTCTTCTTGACATAGGTATCTCTCCCTCCAGTTTATTCTCAGGGTTTTTACTCAGAGAACGTTCTTGGAAAGTCAAATGTCTTGCTCTCTTGTGCTTCTCATCTTTTCTCTTAAAATAATAAAATAAAAACAATAGTCCTAAGGCTTTAAAATAAATATTTCCAACACATGTTATTTCTATTCATAATTCTTAACGAAACTTAGATTTTTATTAATCCAATGTGACCTAAAATTTCTGCATTAACAGCACAATGTGGAATTGGGCTTATTCTCTTTGGCTCCAGATAAAGCCATCATCCTGAAAATGGCTCTTTCTGACAAAAAGGTGTTCTTTTGAAATAAAGTCTTATTCACTACATTCCTCTTAGAGTTAATGTGAATTTTAGTGCCTCTAATTTTAGATTGAAGTGAAGTCTAGAATAAAACCCACCAGCTGACAATTGAATTTATAGATAGTTGTGAATATTTCAGGTTTGAATAATAGAGCTGTAGAATTTCAGAGACAGAGAGGGAGAGAATTAAGACCCGCTGTAGTTTTCGGGTATAATGTAATGATGTCTAGGAAGTGTTCAGTGTAATGGGCTAAGTAGTAATTAGGAGACAAGTGTGTTCTTTCAGAGATTCTGTTTAGGCTTCTCTCCAACTGGAGAGGGTCACAGGGCAGACCTCCAGTCAACGTGGCGGCCCCTTCCGCCCATTTCCACTCACGGGTGAGCTGTGAATATAATACAGCTACCCCTGCTTGTTTGGCTGTTTTTAAAAAACCAATGAACACCTTTAAAAACTCTCTGTTGGCTTCAAGACATTTCTGCGTGGACTTTGGAGTCAGACCTGAGTTCACACCCCAGCTCTGCCACTTCCTGGCTCTATGACTTGCAGGAAATTGTGTGACGGCTGAGTCTGTTTTCCTAAAGTGTCTTACCACCCGCACGAGGTGGTCTTGGGGATTAAATGAGGTAATATTTGTAAAGTGCTCAGGTTAGGGCCTGGCACATAACGAGCACTGGATAGATGGCAATTCTGAGTATTATTATTTCCACCAGGCAAAAGCGATTAATTAAGAAAGCAGTTCATGGCTGAAAGAAACAAGTACGACCTATAGGACAAATCCAGCTTGTTCACTGTCATTTACAGCTTCAGTGGCCAGACCTTGTGTAGGAGAAGATATTGCCACTGTCTGGACTCCTCTGACAACTTGAACTTCCTTGCTTGCATCCAGGTTATTTCAAAGCGATGGATTGGGGTTATGACTGAGACAATTGCCTGCAGACTCTTAAGTTTTCAGGGACGTTAACCACATTTGCCTGACCCATAAACATCTGATGACTTAGCAAATAAATATTCCCTAAGTGGGAGGGTAATTTCTGACCTTGTTCCTTAATCAAAAGTTGTGCAAATTTTAGAAGTCCGTGAGAAAAAACACAAGGGGAGGAAAATTGGCATGAAATTAACTATAGACGACACCAAAAAAGAGAGAGAAAAAGGGGGCCTGGAGAGAGCATGGTGTGTTTTATGATCAAGCTGCTCACAAAGACTGTCTTATGGAAAAGGGAAAAAAAAAAGAAAAAAGAAATGGTGCCTTGCAGGCAGATGGCGAAAGAGTTAATTGTCATAGCTGCGAGAAATTCAGTGCCCGAGAGAGGAAAGGGGAGCAACCATGTTTTAGTACCCTAATAACTTCTAACTCTCGTCTAAGATCATAATGTATGTGCGAGCAGTCCAGTAATTATAAGGTAATAAGTGAAGTGGTGGGGTAAGTGCTCTAAATTAAAAGGAATTCGCAAGGCTGCTGTAAGTCAGTGCCGACCCGCTTTCTTTCAAACGTTGACTTGAGGAAAAGTGCTTAGCCCGGAGAGCAAGCCAGGAGACAAGGAGAGCGATCTATTAATTACAACGCTCATTAACAGTGACGGGTACAAGGCAGCAGATGCAGAAGAGAGAGGACGCCGTAGCTCAGGCTGGTGAGGGGGATATTTTTCCTTTCGCTAGTTCTTTGGGAAAGGACATCACAAGTGGGTGGGCGAAAGGCACAAGATATTTTTGTGGATTTCTCCTTCCTCTTTGCTTTCTTCACGTCCTGAAACTGCTTTACTTGAGAAAGCAGAACAAAATTGCCAATGTGCCGTAGATTGATTGAGAGGCAAATTCTTGCTCTTGAGCCTGGCTTCTTGGAACAGTTCAGTGGACATTCCCGATAGGAAATTCCATCTTTTTCTTCATTTTAACGTAACAGAATAGTGGGGGGAGGGGGACCTGGAGGAGAGCATGAAATCTGAGCAATAATAAAATATCATTAGATTTATAGTGAAAGAGATAATTGCATCCCTTTGATTATATGGTGGCTACTCCCCCAAATTCTGGTGAATGACCATTACCCTGTGGGATTCCCATAAATCAACTTTCCACTGGGAAGCAATTATCTAAGTCCCTTTCTCAACTCTCACCTCTTATAGTGGGCTCTCAGAAGGTTCTTAGAGACTTTGCTAAAAGGGGTTTTGCACTATGGCTAAGCGGAAAGAAAGTAGGGCCAATTATATCTTTTCATCTAATTACCTTTTCAGAAATTTAATCACTTATGGGTCCAACAAAGAAAGAGCGGCAGTGTGTTTCTTCTAGATAAGAGAGAGAGTTTGTCAGATTAGATGCTTCATCATATTTCCTTTTAGGAGGTACGATGTTAAAAGACCAAAAGAAGGGAGAAAAATGAGCAAATCTCATTTTTTCAGGACAAAATATGATACATTCTTACTTTGCTGAATATAAGGTATCAGACTTATAGACTCACAAGTATACAGAAGACTCAAATGGCTTTTACTGATTCATCTTCCGAATAATGGCAGATCACACACATAAACACACACACAAACACACACACGTATTTAATCAGTGCTGGTGATCATTTCACTAAGTTTTCTGGGCTCTAGAAATCATCCTTAAATATTGGCTAGAGTTTTATACTTGATGTCTTTCTATATAGCTAAATGGCTATGCAATAGAGCGATTTAAATAAAGCAGCAAAATGATTGAGGATATATTCCCTATGTGTCTTCATCAGATCAATAAAAGACACAGTTATGCTTATGGAAGCGTGCTGACAAACAGTAATTACAGAGCTGAGGAATTGTCTGTTCAGTCTTGAAAGTAAAAGTTTGATTCCACTCATCATAAAATGATGGCAGCCTCAGAACGTAGAAGGGAAAAGTAGAGTGAGGATAAATACAATTTTAGAAAGGATATGGACTCTGCAAATCGCTCCTCTACCAGGGATAAATTTAGAATCGAGAGAGTTGATTTAGATATTGACATGGTTCTCCAGGAGAAAGGTAAAATAAAAGGAATTGGACCCGTTAGAGCTTTTGTTTATGGCCTGTCTGGGCACTTTGATGTAACCCTGCCATGGCCTAATGCTGATTACCTTCTTGTAGAACAAGAGATATTGACTAGGGAATGAATGATGTGTAATCCCCAGCTCTTAGGCAGTGCTCTCAAAGAGCGATGTCTTTAACATATGAATTCTTCTCTTTTTTTTTTTCTCCTTTCATCCTTCTCTTTCACTGTCTCTATTTTTTCCTCTTCTTTTTGTTTCTCCCTCTTTTGGTCTCTGTGTTTGACACTCTCTCCTTCTCTTTGTCCCTCTCTCTGTATCTCCTTGCATCTCAGGCTTCTCTGCAGAATGTCAAACAAAGATCGGCACATTGATTCCAGCTGTTCGTCCTTCATCAAGACGGAACCCTCCAGCCCGGCCTCCCTGACGGACAGCGTCAACCACCACAGCCCAGGTGGCTCCTCAGACGCCAGCGGGAGCTACAGTTCAACCATGAATGGCCATCAGAACGGACTTGACTCGCCACCTCTCTACCCTTCTGCTCCTATCCTAGGAGGTAGTGGGCCTGTCAGGAAACTGTATGATGACTGCTCCAGCACCATTGTTGAAGATCCCCAGACCAAATGTGAATACATGCTCAACTCGATGCCGAAGAGACTGTGTTTAGTGTGTGGCGACATCGCTTCTGGGTACCACTATGGGGTAGCGTCGTGTGAAGCCTGCAAGGCATTCTTCAAGAGGACGATTCAAGGTTAGTGTGGACATGGGAATACCCTACCCTCTTCCAGCCTCACGTGATGGTTTGTTTGTTTGTTTTCCTAGTCTTTATCCTTTCGCACTCTTAATTCTATCTTGAGTATAAAATAGAAATAGATTAAAATTGATAGTGGAGGATTTATAGAATAAACTCCTCCCAGATATGCCCCTTATCGGTTAATTCTCCTTTCCCTGTGCTGTAATGATGGAATGATAGTAAGCTTTGGGTGGAGTTTAAAAGAGCACAGCTATTATTAGAGTAATGTGGGTCTGCTTAGCAACTGAACAAGTGCACACCGGATTAATAGTGCTTTTTCCCCTTCAGATCTTCTTATAGATGCACGGAAGTAACAAATGCTTCAGACCAGTGGTTCTGGAGAGCTTGACAAAATGCAGACCCTAGGCCCCACCCCCAGAGTTTCTGATTCGTTAGGTCTGGGGTAGCAGCCCAAGAATTTACATTTCTAACAAATTGCCAGGTGATGGTGATGCTGCTGGTCCAGGGACCACACTCTGAGAACCACTGCTCCAGACAAGTTTAATTATCTACTCCCTTCTTTCCCTGTAATTGGGTATACTTTCTCCACTTTTTAACGAATTTGCATAAAAAGTCTTCCAAATTATAAAATATACCATATACATAAGACATACCCAGACCTTTATAGATCTCCAGACTTATAAATAACAATTATTTCCTACATAAAATATGGAAAAATGTGACTGAAATTGGTATGTGCCCTTTTAAACTAGGAATCCACCAATACAGAACTCAGCTCAATTTAAAAGCTGTGGATACATATTCTTATAGAAAATGATATTTCACTTTTTTAGATCCTTTGTGATACTTTTGAAGAAAATAGGGGACGGAAAGAATAACTTCATTGAGGATCCTTGGCACACCAGTGATTCCGTTCTGTTCAGTGGTTTATAAAATGAATCTTCTTAACGGCCAGTTGTGGATACAACTACTTATCAGTAGTTCTCAACCTGGCCAGCTCATTGGAATCACCTGGAGACTTTTAAAAAATACAGATGCCAGGGCTTATACCCCAAAATTCTGAATTAATGGGCCTTCGGTGTGGCTGGGGCAAGGAGGGATTTTTGAAAGCATCCTGATTAATGCTTGACGTAAAGCCAAGGTTAAGAACCACAGCGCCATACTGTGCTGTGTTCTATCACAGTGCTTCTCAAAGTGTGGTCGCTGGACCACCAGGGTCAGGGTCATCTGGGAACTTGTTAGAAGTAGAGATTCCTGGGCCTCATCCCAGATTATCTCAGTCAGGCCCTCTGGGGGTGGAACCCCACCATCCGCGTTTCACCAAGCCCTCCAAGTCAGTCTAGTCATTCTAAGGCTCACCCAAGTTTGAGAACCTCTGCTTTATATCATGCTGCTGCTGATTTATCACTGACAACTGACCATTGTCATCTAATGGTCCCTTGTTGGATGTGACTGAAATCAGTGTAATAACTTAGTGACATACTCGTTTTTAAAGTGCAAAAGAGATTGTGTTTGCTAAACTAATCTTTCTAAATATTTTAACAAAATTCTGAAACCCTTATGTGCACAGAGAGTAATCTCCCACCGTTCCCTTTGGCAAGTCATCTTCATCAGTTGTGCTGAAGATTTTAGTGACTGTGCTTAGTGGAATAGCTTGTACCATCTCCCACTTGCTTTTGTGTTGTGTGCTACATAGCTTCCTTGATTTGTGGCTGATGAATACACAGTTAAATAGTTTACTTAAAGTGCGCAGTGTTTCAAGACATCATAACTCATATAATAGAGTGGCTATTTAAGCCTAACCTTTCCACAGCCTTTTATAGTTTTAACTGAAGAACACAAACCAAGCTAGTGTGGAGTATGCATGAATTACCTAAATATTTTCATATCTGTATCTTCATATTTTATGCATCGTCCTTGCCCTACTTTCTTAGCGTTTTCTTACAAAAACCCATCCGCTACTGGATCTATATTTTTTTTCTCATCCAAAAACTGAAGGCATTAATACGCACCTCGTGGAATGCTTAAAGATAAAATGTAAAATCACGTGTAAATCCTTTCACTTTTGGGCATTTGAAAAATCTCTTCAGCCTATGGCGTAACACTGCAAAATTTGAGAACGAAAACACACTTCAAATCTTCGAGTTCTTATCAGCCATTGTTCAACCGTATTAGAACACTTATGTTACAGAGTTTCTAAAATTTAAACTATTAGTAATTTGATTTTGTGAACTAAGTTTACACAGCTCTGTGTCTAACTACACAAAAATAAGCAAATATTTTGGAACAAATTTACAAATACTGTGTCTGCTGATATAAGCAAGAAGCTCTGAATATGAAAACCACTCCCATTTACTCAACAAATGTTTACTGAGAACCTACTGTGGGCCAGGCAGCCTCCTGGCTGGAGTTTCATCTTATCAACATCTTTTTAAAGCTTTGTTCCCAAAGGTTTGTGGATTGAGGTGAATTCCTCCTACAAATGTCTCCCGCCTTGAGGGAATACCAAAATTTTTGGATAGGGTGGGGATTAAACTCCTTGGTCCTCAGTATGTTTTCTAAAGAAAGAAAAACTATGTGAAAAAATTTCCTGAGTTGCTTAGAAAACAATCGTATAGCTTAGATATGAATAGCTGCGCAATGATTATTTCTTACTTTTCTACTTTTTTATTTTATTTTTTTCAAGTAATTTTATCAGGATTATAATGGTTTATATCATTGTGTAATTTGAGGTGTACATTAATTATTCTTTATCAATTTTGGAATATACTTCATCGTGCTCACCCCTAGTAGTCTAATTTTTGTCCATCACCATATATATTACTTTCTTTTCTTATTGAGATCATATTGGCTTTTAACGTTGTGTAAATTTCAGGTGTATGTTACGATATTTCAGTTTCTGTGTACATTGTGTTGCGTTCATCACAATAATCTAGGTTTTATCCATCACTATACACATCTGCCCCTCTACCCCTTTTACCCTTCTCCCATGCAATGGTTATTTACTGAGCAATAACTGGAATAGAGCAATTGAAATTCTATGCCCGGTTCTTCCTTAGGATGCTGAAATGCTCCCAAAAGCTTAACAGAGCAGAGCACAGGGTGATTCTTGGCATTGATATATAGTGCTCAGTTTTACTCCATATTGGAGAAAGCCACTTTCAAGGATTTTGAGCAGGAGACAGAGATGTCACTGTCCAGATTAGCACTCTGGACTTGCCCACCTGGCTGTGTTTGTAGCTGGCAGCTGGGCAGCACTCAGTAAGGCTACCCCGCTCGCGGCATCCACAGGCCTCACACTGTGGTGCTTACTTTGCCCCAAAGAGGCAGTGAGGCAAATAAAGGGATTAAATTGTGAAAGTGTAATGTAATAATTAGGATGGTGATTGTAAGGAAGATGGGAATGGCCCCTCCTCTCTGTGGCCAAATAGTGATTGAACTCCAAAGATGCTCGCAAAGATGTGGCTGGAAGAATCTCTTGTCTCATCACAGATTCTTATTCTGGTGCTGAGGGACCATAGAGTCTGTTCTCAGGCCCTGAGGCAGAATGACAGCCAAACTATCCTCGACAGATAGTAGGTGGTCTCTCCCTTCCCTCGCTTGAAGCTCTCCAGGGAATGAGAAGGGATTTCAAAACTCCCCTTAAGAATGTGTCTTTCTTGTGTCTCACAACCTTTATGGCCAGAACATTATGTAAGTGTGGTTTCTGCCTCAACAGAGCTGGCTTCTGCTGTCATTGACAATAATCATGGGGAATATTGCCTCTTCACAATCTTTATTTCTTGTTACAATAATTTATTTTTAAAATTGCTTATAAAATATGTAATAAATATAAATATTAAAAGTTGGGCAAAATATTTCTTACATTTAGAGCCAAAAGCACATCTATCCAGAACACATCTTGAGAAAAGTCATCGGAATTGTTCTTTTCAAAGCTGAGTCTGGTATTCTGGGTTGTGAAAGGCAATTAATCATAGATTTCAGTGAAAGTCAACCAGAAAGGCATATTTTATTTATTGACTGTTTGCACGTTATCATTGGAAAACTAGTGAAAGAGGTCAGTACTTAGGTAAAAGTCAAGGTTTTCGTTTTGTTTTGTTTTTCTCCTGACCAACTTTTAGAGGACATTGAGAGTCCTTCCCTATCATCCAGCAGGGTTACAAATGGCAGCAATTATTTCATTGTCATTTTCTAGGTTTATTAACTTTTGTGTTTGTGGTATCATTATTCTGATTTTTTTTCTCATTCCAGTTTTGGCCTCAATTCATAAATGACAGAGGATTATTATTATTATTATTATTTGGACCTTCTCTTTAAGAGTTTTCCCTGGATTCTTTTTTTTTATAATTTAAATTTTTTTTTTTTCCTGAGGAAGATTAGCCCTGAGCTATCCACTGCCAATCCTCCTCTTTTTTGCTGAGGAAGATTGGCCCTGAGCTTACATCCGTGACCATCTTCCTCTACTTTATACATGGGATGCCTACCACAGCATGTCTTGCCAGGTGGTGCCATGTCCGCGCCCGGGATCCAACCGGGCAAACCTGGGGCCGCTGAAGCAGAACATGCAAACTTAACCGCTGCGCCACAGGGTGACCCCATCCTTGGACTCTTGTTAAGGAGACAGGAGAAGGAAAATATCTTTATACCCTAAAAAGGTCAATACATATTTCATTATTTAATATACAAAACACTAGCCCCCTGAAGTTTTTATTTCTATATAAGAATGTGGAAAATAAGTTTTATATTTTTTTATATGTATTTGTGTGGTTAATATGGCCATTTCAACTGCTCAGGCGAACAAGAAGGCACTCTTTTTTTCCCCCACTTTTAAAAAAGGAAATTAGATATTTAAAAATATGGAATTTTTTTTAGGTATTTATTGTAGCTTGGATTTTGGATTTATATAAAACCGGATCCAGGGGCCGGCCTGGTGGCACAGCACTTAAGTCTGCATTTCCACTTCGGTGGCCCAGAGGTCGCCGGTTGGGATCCCTGGT